TCCACCATAAGATATTACTAATGTGTGAGATTTATGCTCCACAGGAAATCTATTTTGGGGTTTGTTTAAATTGAAGTCATGTTGTAAAATGATGCTTGGGGAAATGATCTGGTAAAAACATGATGCAGAGAAATGGATTGACGTTTGATGAATGTGTGGTCTTAGCTGGGCTTATTAATTACCTTCCTTACATGTAACTGTTGGACTTGAAATTGTGTTTGTTTTTTTAACTTCTAAAAACAAATGAAAAAAAAACAACAGAACTTGCTGTCCTGAAAACAGCCCTTGTTTGAAATCATCTGATACTATCAATAGTTTTACTCTTTGCTTACCAACCGTTCGTTCAGGGACTGTTTGAAATTATAATAGTGCTGAAAAGGAAAATTTTGAAATTGCAGCTGTCATAGCATCCGCAAAGTCACACGGTTGCAAATCGGGCAGTGCAGTGTGGATTTTGCGATGACCGCCACGTTCTGCGGTCATGTCATTGCCCTTTGCGACCTTCACAGCTGCTTCTGACAAAAGACCTTGCAGGTCACAATCATTTGATATTTTGCATTTAATGACCGTCGGTGATCTGCTTAACGATCACAGCTGTTAGAAGTCCTTGTGGTTAAGAGTCATTTCATTTTACAGCCGTGTCACTTAGTGCAGGGCTTTTCAACCAGTGGCACGGGTACCACCTGTGGTACATTGGCACCTGGCAGGTGGTACGCCACCATCCTAGAAAAGTGATAGCGAGGGAAGGGAATGAGCTGAACCGGTGGCAGCACCGCATAAGCCTGAGTGAGAGATGGCTGGAGCTGCAGGGCTGTCGGCTCAGTGGAAGCGCCAGGATCAGTGCTTCGGGGCTGTCAGGGCTCAGCGGAAGCGCCAGGATCAGCGCCAGACTCCAGCTGGAGTTCAGCACTGATCCTGGTGCTTCTGCTGAGCCCAGAAGAAGCGCCGATCAGCTGGAATGTTGCAGCCTCTCCAGGTCTTGTGATTTACATTCAGATGCTTGGCAATTGATTCATATTTATGACGGTCACAGTGTCCCAGGGTCATGTGAAGGGACCAAAACCTGCTGCAACCACCCATCAAACGGGGGGAATAAAAACCAAACACCCCCCCACCCCCACTGCCAATCCTCAACAGAAACGCTCACAACAATGAAAGCCTCGGACAGGAGGAAGAGCGCCGCCGGGCGGGCAGGCAGGCGTCTTGCTCGGCTGTGGCTTAGGGGGGGCACTTTTTTCAGTGCCATTGTAACTTCGAACAGTCACTAAGCGAACTGTTGTAAGTCGAGGACTACCTGTACTTCATCACTTTTTTCCTTTTTTGGGGGGGGGTCAAGTTTTTGACACCTTGCTAGGCGACTGGTGGTATTCAGATGTTGCCATATCCTAAAAGTGGTACAATGGGTGAGAAGGTTGAAAAGCCCTGACTTAGTGACATCGTTGCCCGTCCCAGATTCCAGTTGGTAAACAAAGACTTATCTGTACTTAAACGACGTTTCAATATTTTCTCATGCTCGGATATTTTCTGTTAATTCGGTACATTTGTGGGAATGCGCTTTGACTTGTTGGTTGGTTGCATGCATGCTGTTTGACTGCCTAAAGGGCATATATATATTTACTCTGCAGCAAGCTTGCAGGCCACTCTGCTGTGTATATCCTTGCTGGTTATGAAATTCGAGAGGGCAAAGGTGTGGGATGAGATTGCCTCCTTGTAAATCTCAGCAAACTTCTCGTGCCTTCTCTGGGATCGTCTTTGCAACCCTCTGCATTCCAAGATAAGGGGTGTCCCAGCCTCTTGGCCCGAAGACACCAAAGAACATATTGTTCCCCCGGGCTATTTCAATCTTAATGATGATCAAAGGGCCACCTATCTCAGTTAGATAAGGACAGAAAGTTACAGTTAACATTGTATTTTTTTTTTTAATCCGCTTGTATTATTTCTTTTGTCTCACTGTAAACAACCTTGAGCTCTTGGAAGTGGCTTTCTGCATCGGGTGCAAAAACTTTGGTCGAGGTCAGCCGTGAAGTAAAGGATATTTTTGTCTAGTGATAAGAACAAATTCCCTGTCAGTGAACAGCTTAATTTGACCCACAGGCCTGATTATGTCTATCTGATTATGTCTGTTGGTTCTCAGCCATGTTTTGAAAAAAATACCAACATATACACATACATACATACATATACACATACATATACACATACATACATACATATGTGTATGTATACATATGCGAGGGGAGGGTGGATGGTGACATACACACAGTTAAGGGATGCAAGAAAAGAGCAACAACTTATGCAAAAATTACGGCCAACAACCTATAAAAGAAACTCTCCCACTGACTAGCATCTAACCCTGACGATGTCGGTAGTATACCGACGAAAGCTTGGTAATTTTATTAAACTTTTTCAGTTTATAATATTCCTGGTGCTCACGTTTATTTTATCTGTTCAGAATATGAATATACCCAGGATTCGTATTTTTATTTATTTTATTTATTTATTATTTATTTATTTTTAATGTTATTATTGATACATATACACATACATACACATATACACAAATACACACACACACACACATACAATACATACATACATAATATATATATATATATATATAATTTTTATATATAAATAAAAAAAATATTAGAATTATTTCCACTCCATTTCAACTGTAATACCAGCTCCAATTTTTTTAGAAGATGTCTTATTTACATTTTAGCTCTTGTGAGCTTTAAAAAAAAAGGTTACACTGCCTGTTTTTTGTTTTTTGTTTAAAAAAAAGTTACTAGGACTTAATCGCTAGCAAACGGTAGGAAGTAATATTTTAAAAATAAAACGTAAAGCTAGCAGGAGGCCGTGGTCAAAATTGCTGTCACAACAATTTGAAGATCTGCTCATATCTGTTTAAATTTCTTTAGCGAGAACAATGGGACTGAGGCCTGAATAGATTGAGCGGATCAATTTTACGTTTTTTATTATAGCCTAGAGTTTTGACATTTCCCTTAAGAGCGCCGTAACCATGTTATTTCAATTACTCATGCTAGAATTGCAGGCAATTTGAACATCGCTGTAGGAAAGCACAAAACCCTCTTCCCATATCATTGACTGGAGGGTAGCGGTTGAACAAAGGTGCAATAATATTTCAAGTTGGAACTGATAAATACGCGTCTTCAGAACAAAAATGAGTCTGCCGAGGACGCTGACTGCCAGTTTTGAGCATTTATCTTTTGGTAAATATGCCTTTGTTAATGGAGACGTCGCCGATGGTGGTATGCTTTCTCTCTGAAGAGGCGTAACTACTATATCCCGATTATTTAAATTGTCTCCGATTAAAACTCAAGACCTGGGATGGCTTTCCCATTTTGAATTGGTAGGAATTCTTCTTTTAGTCAGCGGCTAAAGCAGTGGTTCTCAACCTTTTTAATGCCGCGACCCCAACCGGTCATAAGTCGAGGACTAAACCGGTCGTAAGTTGAGGACTAAACCAGTCGTAAGTCGAGGACTAAACCGGTCGTAAGTTGAGGACTACCCAACCGGTCGTAAGTCGAGGACTTTCCCTGCCCGGGAGCGCCGCGCATGCGTGGTTCCGCCCCTGCACCGGCCGAGGCGTAGCTGGCAAGCGGCAGAGACGGAGCAGGCCGACAACCAGCTGGCCCAGCCCAAGGGAGGTAAGGCACCCGCCGGAAAAGGGGGGGAAAATGGCGGACAAAAAAATGGCGGACAGCCTTGCTTGGCAACCCCCGTGAAATGGTCTATCGACCCCAAATGGGGTCCTGACCCACAGGTTGAGAACCACTGGG